GAAAGAATGAATTGACACATTAAGGAGGCTTACGAACAAAGGCAAGGCAGGTAGGATTATAAATTTCTGCCTTACTTGAGGTCGGCTGGTGGGGCGCGCACCGCGAGCCAACAACTGTCGTTTGAATCCGACTTACTGGCTCATTGCTCAGTATCAAGTCATGTGACCTACCGTTTGAGCTACGAGCTCAATCCTTTTCGATCCCACTGGAGATTGTTACGCCACATACGAGAGCGGTCTTCGTCGGTCAATCCTGAATGTAGAAGGCAAGCTTTCATTTTTTTGTTTAAAAAAGTCCACCGAGCGACCTCGCAGGCAATCTAATAATGACGAGGAATCGACGATTGACGAGCATTGCCGGTACTTACAAAGGAGGTCAGGATGAACATTTCAGGTTTGCTTATCAGGTTCAGCCAGAATCATCCCAAATGCAGATCTAGAATATGCTGAAACGGTCAATTTCCGCACAACGGCATGTGTACTTTTGTCTGACGAACGGTTTCGAAATACAAGCAATTACGTAGGCTAACAATTAAGTCTATGGAAGGTTAAACGTGTTAGGAGTGGAACATTATCCATGTCCTTCCTAATAAAGGCGAAATTTCGAGTTACAGCATAAGTGAAGAAGAAGGGTCGAGCACCGGAACACTTCGTTTATTGTCCTGAGCTTTCAGACTAGTACATGAGTCCATCGTCAGAGGTAGTGGAAGCAACAGAACAAACGGCAGTTATAAGGCATGCAGGTTCAACTGTTATTTAACAAATTCGTCCAGTGTTTTAACATTCCTGCTCTACTGACAGACGTATGCATTCTACCTGCCATTATTTCGACTATTTTTTTACTACCTGACTGCTCTTCGTGCCGAAATTTCTTTTAGAACGACGTGAGGGGTGTGAAGAATAATGTATACATTTCAGCAGTACCGGTCCCTTGAGGCGGTACACATCAGCGAATGTCATCCTGCCAACGAAGGGCAGGCCAAAAGCTCAGCAGAACAACACCTCTGGAAAATATAGTAGGCGGTTTTTCATAATGTTTCCTTACTCCGCGCATATACCTAATCCCTACTGCTACGGCCTATCGACAATTTATCGACATTGAAAAATTTACTGTCAAGTTTTGAGAGTGGAACAATAACAATTAATTAGTTATGGCTCAAGAAACTTGTAGGGAAAGGACAGAGGCCTGACACCTGGGTGAAACGTAAGGTGGCAGTTTGTCGGGAGTGACAAGGGCCGCGTAGGGCAACACAGGTGCCTATAGCCTGAAAGAATTTCTAGCTGGGCAGGTTTTTACTGAGTCTGCAGCATGTAATCTGATTGGCTTCGATGGCAAAAAATGCCAAGACCATCGGCAACGAGATCAGACACAGTGACGGACAGAATTACATTAGCTGGTCTACGCCAGTCACACAGCAGTCAGTTAATCAGTGTCAGACCTACATGTGGGGTAGATGACAGAAGCCCTCAAAACTCCATTTAAACGGTACGGGTGTGAAGGAAAATAGTTAAACTGCAAAACTGTTGCATGTAGTTTTAGTGGGCAGAATGTATAAAGCTGATAACAGAACATAAATGCGAAAAAGGCGTGGTATTTGTGAAATAACGGCGTAAATAATCGTTCACTGCCTTCACAGTGAAAAATTTCATCAGGGTCGAGGTTAATGTACACAAAAGGATCTATTGAATTCGTGTTAGTAGAATGTTTGTAGTCATTTCAGTAATCCGCTAGATCAGTCATGGAGAGTTCTGGTCGCCTTTGAACAGGTGATTAGCCAGATGTATCTTGAACACACTCACGGCAGGGGATTTAACAACATACGTCGGCAAAGAATGCCGTCGGCGAATCACACTTTGCGAGAAAGAGGAAGAATGTTAATTTGTGTGGCACTGTTTCTTCTTAAGCTGGTAAACGTGTCGTCTGAGATTAGCCATTTGTGCTATTTCAAAAAGAAATTCCCGGTCGACATCCAGATTAAGTCCTCTTAGCAACTGAAACGTTGCCATGAGGTCACCTCTGCCCTGCCCGTAGTGGAGGGGATAGAGGTTCAAGGCCGTCAGGCGCTACTCCTACGTAAAATTATTTAGTTCATAAACAGCCTTTGTAGCACGTCGCTGTACACCTCCTGTTTTCATTTCGTCCAACGACGGGTTAATACCAACAGCTCGAAAATTCACGAGTACAACTCAACTTTTCTGAAGAACCTCTTGTCCTTTTTGACCTTCAAGAATATCGATATCCTTCGGAAGCCACGGCCGCCAAGCCTGTACCGTATGTTCCAGGCGCGGCCGCCCAAATGCCTCATCTGCATCCAAGTTAATAAAAATTCTTCGTATCGCGTTACGACATTAAAACACTGAGTGTTGACGCCTAGGTCTTCTTTAATCACGGTTTCATGTGGTTGATTTTCTAGGAGATACTGCCGTGTCCTGGACAGCTCCAATCTAACATGCATTAGAGCGCCATAGAGGCATCATGCAGAAGGAGCCCAAGACCACGCTTTCCACTCACGTGAGGAGAGCAGAGTCCATGCCCGTGGCGAATGATGTAAGAGGGTTCGTTTGTAGTTATGTGCTGTTGAGGAAATATGTGGTGAAGGGGTTTGTCCGACGGCGTTTTATCGCAGGTTTTCATGGATATGGACATGGTCAAGCAGGCCCATGCGGTGGAGGAATGTGCGTGGACCGTGTGGGCGTTTGATGCAAGTGCAACGGATGTTTTTCAGTGCTCCAGGCACAGACTCATCAGCCCCTGTGCGATGGATTCGCAAGTGACCTATCAGGTCAATGTGTGAGGTGAAGGTTTCATCTCAAGGCGAGTGTGACTTATGCTTGTTGATAGTTCGACTGTCGATTCCGATGAGGTCCAGCGTGTGCTCCACGGCAGGCTGAAGCAGGCTCGGTGACTTGCGCGTGAATTGGTGGACTTACGCGGCATCTACTGCACTCTCATTTCCCTACTTCCCACTTGGACCCGGTGTCAAGACAAAGTCAAGAAGACCGGCAGAGGGCGAGGGTGCAGGTGGTTAGCACGGCCGTGCCCGCAACTAAGCGTACCACCACACCCCCTGGTCCACAACGTACCCTTGACCAACAACAGCCCAAAAAAGGGTCAGAAGGACAAGGATGACTGGGCAGCCGTGCGCACCACTTGTATACCCAATGGGAACGCAAGCGCATCTACCAGCAGGGAACCAGGTGTCGGGAACCGCCAGCGCATAAGGGGCTGCGAGGGTCATGGCTTGCTTATACCGGCATAGTACACACTGTGAAAACTTTTCACCGTATGCTTGTTAGCGCCCAAGGTACAGGTTCATCAGCCCCTGTGTGATGGATTTACAAGTGACCTATCCGGTCGATATTCGATGTGGAGATTTCGTTACCATGAGCACAGATTTGAATCGAATCTGTATTGCTGGTGGTGGGATTGGAGATGGTGTCGGTGGTGTCTACCGGGTGTGACGGGCGAATACTCACTTGCATGGGAGAGGCCTTGCGAGTCATCCCGGTGTCCTCCATCTCCTGCAGTGGATAACATTCTGCAGTTGACACCACTTGTCCTGAAGGTAGCGCTGTCAGTCCTTGTCCGAAGTTCTTCTAGGTACTGGTTCAGTTGATTGCTGAACTCTAAGCAAACAGGCACACTCAATGGAACAATTATTGTACTTTGTGGTCTCATGCAAGGCTGCGGTCGGAGCCTCATTTTAATAACGAAGAGGCGGCGATAGAACCCACCGCTCCCTCTCAGGCATGCGTGATATGTGGCCTATGACGCAAAGTTCGTTGTCTTCAGTAGCACTCTGGAGGATGAACAGAATGGGATCGAGTGAGATCCTAACCACAATCGTGGTGGTCAAATGCTTCCATCTCATGTGTACTATTGTTTAATGTAAAAACATTTCTACTACATATAGTTAAGTAGATATAACTAATTACGTACTAAGCGAAACGCCTGCCCACCAGTGCTACATTCACTGAGATTTATTGTAACTGTGAACTTCAAAATATGCAGGAAGCCTTCACACATACGCATGATTCTAGCGTTTCGTGCACATAATCTGTCCTGTCACACTACAGCCACATAAAATTTACCTGAACATCCTTTGGCAGCTTAATAATTTAACATCTCTTTTATCTACGTGGTAATATTTAAGATGCAGATTATTGCATGCCTCTTCCGTTGTCTAGAGGGCCAATCAGGCAAGCCGATTTAACTTATCGGAAGTCATTTCAAACTTCATACTTTATTTCTTCCGACCAATAATCATGCCCTGTGGAACAAAGTTATTGACGCTTACAAACTTGAGTGTTGAAACATCATTGTTGAAAGAGATAGCATTGTCTCAAAACGTCAAGCACGGAACAAAGGGTTAAATCAATAGAAGCGAAGAGATGAGTCTCAGGAAGTAGTCTTGCAGAAGGAGACACGATTACTGGAATAAGAGCTCTATTCACCTGACGTTTCGGATTCCCGCTCGAACCCAGCATCAGAGACAAAAGCAGATACGGTTGGTTCGTGCGCAAGGTGCTGCAGTATTTATAGGATACAGTCGCCATGCTACCGCATACATATGGAAATTCACGGCTCCCCCCTTCATCCAGGATCGTCGCCCTTGTTGTGCTAATTGTTTGGTGGCCGGCCTACACGTCGTTAATTGCTGCAATCTCATCACGTGCGTTGGACGTTGGTGTAATGATTGCCCGACCATCTGAGCCACCGACACTGCCGTTGGGACGAGAGTTCACCTACGCGTTCCCCGCGTGACTAATTACTCCGCTTAGGTTAAGTCTCGTCACCGAATGTGGTAGGGGAAGGTCATTGCACTTGCTAACGGACTGGGGGCCGGTAAACCATGATTCAAGCAGCTCCCGGCTCACGCGGTTGTCACCTCTAACGAGAATTTCGGCCTCCTCGAATTTGAATCTGTGGATGGATCTCGTCGAATGAGGCGCAACTTGAGAGCTAGTGTCATTTCTCCTCACCGCTGAAGCGTGTTCGATCATTCGAGTTCAGAGCTGTCCTCCAGTTTCTCCGGTCCATCAGGCAGGAGGACATTACCCATCGCTACTTTACAAAACGGACTCATATACTTGCCTATGGGAAAATAAATGCCAAAACGTCCCTAGTCGTGGAACGGAAGAAATGATTTTGTGGACCTATCGACACTTTTCTTCGATAGGAAGAGTGTGGAGAGTTGATATCTATCTAAGCTACCCTCTTGTCTTTCAAAATGTATACTACTTTATAGTTAAGAGAAAAACCGACTATTTCAGTCTTTCTTGCCGTCCCGTGATAGTCGAATAGCAAAAAGAGAAAATGCGTTCACTTGAACAGCATTTTTCACTGTTAACATCCCAACAGGGGTCAGAAGAATGGGGATGAGTGGACGGTCATGTCGACGACCTGTGTACCCGGAGAGAGCGTCAGCGCATCTACTGTTAGAGAGCTGCTAACGCATACCAGGCTGCGAGTGCCATGGTTTACTGATACTTCCACAGCCCACGCTTTCAGATTTTTTGACTTTTTAGCCAACCTACGGGATAATTTGAACCTCGCAGTCGGTCCAGTGTGTGTTTGTGTAGAGTGGCCGACTGGTGGATTGAGAGTCAGGCTGCAATGGCTCATTCTTAGTATGGCCTTTATGGCACGCCTACTCCGTAGGATCCAAGTCGGTGTGGTGGCAAGTGCGGTGCCGTCGGTCTTCTTGACACTGTCTTGTCTCCGGGTCCAGGTGAGGTAGGAGGAGAGAGTGCAGCAGATGCTGCGGAAGTCTACTACCACTATAAACACACTCCCGGAAATGTCACCGTCCCTGCTTCCATCCTGCTGTGGAGCACACGGTGGGCATTGTCGGGCACGACGGTAAACAGGCCAGCTGGGCAAGGGACGCGGGCTGATGCTGCTGCAATTAAAAGAAAGTGTAATTATCTATTTTAAGAGCGGTTGTGCAATGTGCACCACTCTTCTCTGTTGAATCTCCCCTTGAAGAAGAGGAGGCACAAACTCATCAAGTTAGTAGCCTGGTGATAATTTGATTTTTCATCGAACCAAGCATCATTTCTGTCGGCAAAAAATGAAACTGTCCTAACCAATTAAAGAGGCGTTTCTGATAAGAGTGCCTCGTAAGGTCACCTTTTTGTCCGTGCATACAGTTATTCTGGCCGAATTTATCATTCACTACTACTTCTTCTGAGTACAATACAGCCGTTGCCCTATGCCTATGAGATGCACTAATGTACCTTCTGGCTCATGGTGGGAAATGAGCATTAATGAAAACGGAATGCCGACCAAGACATGGGAGGCTGGTGTGCTCCCGTCATCTGCCAGAAAGCAAAACATACAAATGGCCGTGGTTCGAGTATTCGCCATTGGTAGGAATTTTCCTCCTATTTCTTATAATTAGATGGTGTAAGCGCAGGCAGTATGAAATTATGCAGAAATGTCCGCCCGAACTCGTCACTCCCTCACATGTGACAAAATGGACAGAGTTCAAGGCAGAGTATACGGTCTGTCCGGTGATTGTAAGGCCACCTGTTTTCATTTAAATTTCACACATATCGACGTAGATAAACCCGACTATTCTTGAGAAGGCGTAAGAATCGTTAACGTATAGAACGAACGACGTTTTATTACATGGTGACTTAATTCATTGTTGCTAAGGATCGGGTGAAGGCCCCAAAGCATCCGTGGCATACAAAGCGTACCCACTACACTTATTTAAGTGGATTTGGGTTCGACACGATTACTGCGGTTTGGTGTTTAATCGTACAATGTTGAGTCGTCTGTTGCAGATAGTCTGGTGCATCATCCACAATGACCTCAGCTCAGGAAGTTGGGAAGCGATCGCTGTAGGCATCAAATGGTTATTTTTATAATTGTCTTGTTTAATTTCGGCTGCTATTTGTCAATGCATTAAAACCTTTCCGCTTAGAAAACAAATTTACCATTTATCTACACTTATTTCTCCATTCCCCTTTGCATACATAGGCCCAACCCGTGAAACCCCTTTTACCACCTTTCCCGTAAGACAAGCAACTGTGGCTGGTCGTGTGTGTTTGAGGGTCTTTAACCGATCGCCGCCTCATTGTTAAATAAGAATGATAGGAAAATGGCCGTCCTACCGTTACGTATGCACTAGATTTGTGATGTCATTGTCAGAGGTTGGATAGAAGCGTAACATCATTCGGTAATGATTGGGCATTCAAGACAATGTTTTTTTACCGCTATAACATGCCCGATTATTTGATTTTGGTAGGCCTGTTATACTAAGGTTAAATCTAATATATATTAAATTCGGGACTTTGATTGAGTTTAACGTTAGGGAAGGGTTAGAGTGAAAAAAGGTCTAGGGTCGGGGTAGGTTTTGAGATTGGGGTCAGGGTCAAACTTGCCCGCAGCATACTGTCTTACACAGTCCAGACTTCCTCAGCCAATACTCTTGGATATCCCGCTTTTTGGCCCGTTTATATGCCCCTAATCCGCAACTTTCAAAATGGGCGGCCTGTTCTGACACCTCGGTAAAGTAGCACAACACACATATGGCAGAATGTGACTTTGTTCAATGTCTCACACAGATACCGTTAATTGCTTCGTCCATCTGCCCTACTAATAAAACTAATATAAACATTTTGCCCGTATTTCAGGAGTTCCTGTGCTCTGTCTTCTCAGTTGATCTCAATATTTAATTGCTACTATCCCTTATAATTCAGAAGTTCAACACAGCGTTCCCTCATGTTATAAATCAGGTTCTCAGTTTCTGATCCACCCAGTGTCATCCGGGGATTGTCGAGGAGCCTCATTTAGCTGACCGGCCGACTGGGAAGTCTTACTGTTGCTGCGCGACGGGCGTAGGGATGTGGGGTTGCGCGTGAGCTAGTTTGTAATGGTGGTAGACTTGTGCAGCATCTATCGCACTCTCGCTTCCCCCACCCACCTGTGGCCGGTGCCAAGACATCGTCATGAAAGCCGGAGGCCGTCTGCGTGTGCGGCACAAGTCTGGTCTGCACATAAATACCAAAATTTCCTAAAAAAAACAAGAGGCGGCTCGAATAACTACTGAGTGGGAGTGCCACAGTATTCTGCTCCTCCTCCTCCTCCTCCTCCTCCTCCTCCTCCTCCTCCTCCTCCTGGTAGTCCTCCTCCTCGCCCTCCATATCCTCTTCGCCCTCCTACTCGTTCTGATTAATTTCTGTTTACAGGATATTTCGAGAGCTACAGGGCAGTTACTCACCACGGTTTTTGATCTCCATGTGCTGTCCGGTCCCTCTACTGCTGTGACCCACTGCAGGCGAGGCTCAAATTTCGTATAATTCAAAATCCGTCAGTGACATGTCTCCAAACACTGAAAAAGGACGAAAAATGACTGCAGCTCGCCAATTTTGCGAACAAACAAATTTGTGACTGCTACTCACTGGACTGTCGCCACCCTACTGGCCGGTGATGGCACATTAACCTGAATTCAAATCAGCCTTTACGTTGTGACACGTTCCAAGTCCAGACGCAAAAATGATGGCACACTAGGTTGCCTTACGGTCGACGGAAGAGTATCGCTTGACAGTGCTTATTACTTGATGCTATATCAAATCAATTTGTGATACAATCGTGGTCGCACCAAAACCTGTCACATGATACTTCCCCGTGCAAATAACCGGCCAACAGACACAAAACTGCTTAATGTTTGGCCAAGAACAGGTGACATTTCAACTTTAGGCCTGTATGGTGGATTTCAAATAAATTTTCCCAAACAAAGCAAGCAATTTACTTGACGAGAAGCAATCTTCCATTCTCTGATCAGACTGCGGTAGAATGGCAATGCAACCTAACGTTCAAGGATCTTGTGCGGCCGAAAGAGCAATGTTTGCCGGAAAATCAAAAGAGCGTTTTCTAGTTTGATTTCTAACTAATTGCAGCCCTATTTTGTGCCTTGATGCGGACACAAAAACCTCTGCTTCGTCCCATAATCAGGCTATCGGATAATTAGGAAGACAAATCCAGACTGAAGTCGATCCCCTAACTTATATTAAGCATCAGCGGAGGCTGTAAGCTATCAGACATTTAATACTTCCAACAAACCTAAAGCATTGGAATTTGAGATCTATGGGCAATAACAGAACGTTTGCCTACATAGAAGAGGTTACTTAAACCTGGAAAAGTAACAATTGCAACGCATTTTAAAAAATAAACCTACGTGCTAGGCTAGTTTTGGTAAACAGCTATTCGTAATATGATACCCTGCCATCTGGGTTTCGTTGTCTGATAAATGTTGACTGTTTTTCGTTGGAAAACAAACTGACGACAACAGCCTGTCTGCACACAAAATCCTATCGCAAAAATAGACTCATTAAATTAAAAGCAAAGCAAAAAGTATCCCTTTGATAACAGGTATAGCGACCGCATTCGAACCCTTAGGTTTTGGCTCATAATAAAAGTGAACCTCTGCACACAGTTATTCAAAAGTTTAAATATTAAATGCTGGTCTACAGTATCTATCACTTTTGTCCTCTGATACGGTTTTTTCTGTTTGTTTTCTCCGCAGATGGTAGATGATTTCAAATAGGTATAGCTAACGCACGACGCGCTTCAGACAGAGAATACTTCACATGGACCAATTACTTGAATCTTTGTGGAAGGGGGAAGGGTCATTAAACTCCAAAAGGAGCCTTTTCGGTTTTTTAGTGATGTCCGCTGATTACTTACACACTAAACGCCACTAAGTCAGTAAAAATGTTTTTCACCTAAAAGATCTTAAAATGAGCATTGCTGAGGAGATTGCTCGAAATAATTCCGATGAGGTTTTCATAAAATTTCTGGATGACATTCGAACTTGCGACCTGTGATGGTAAGATGTTGCCCATAACTGAAGACGCACCGGATTGAGGAAAACAAAGAGAGCAGAGAGCTCAAATGGCTCCAAGCAGAACGATGAATCAGGTCCCGGGCACTTCAACTTCCCCGAAGGAAACTGGATATTTTGCAGAGATTATTTGATCTTCTCTTTGCTGACAGAGAGAGGTTGTTTCAGCAAAAAACACATGAGTATGTTTTCTCAGAGTCATTAAAAAGTTAAATGTTCTATGGCAGACAGTAGAACAGAGTCATCTAGTTTGAAAAGCGATGAAGTCTTGACGGCGGAACGGCTGCCAACCGCGAGGCATCAAAAACAAAACAAGGCAGAAGCAGGGTTTAAGAATGGCAGAGGCATATTCGAGCGGAGGGCCTGCCGTCCAAAGGTCACCCGGAAAGGAATGAATGTAGAAAGCAAGCATTATAATGTGGACAAGTTTAAGAACAGAAGCGATATGAACCTAAAACTTCAAATGACTTCTGAACGAGTTTCTTTCCGGCTGCATGCAAAAACTATACTCTAAAATAACTACTTAAGTAGCGTGCATTCTACTCACTGATTTTCGACGACCCTAAAGTGTTAATTGTGGTTCATGAAAACATGCATAAAAATATTCATTTTTTACTCCTTCGGTAGAAAATTACGTCTTCTTCCAATTTTATACTCGGAGGAAGGGTATCCTTCGGTTTTATAAGAGCTTCTTATAATGAGATTTTTTAATACCGTGAATTGGCCGTCCATAATACGTCATGTCTCTGCATTTACCAATGTGGCTTGGGAAGTTAACAATATGGCTCAAATCCACTGCTTTATTTTATTGACCCTATATTGTCTCCCCTTAATACCGTAGAGGAATGTATGGTTTTCTGTACGCTGAAAATATTCGTCTTGTAGTTTGGAAACCCTGAATGCAAGTGTAACGACAGGTCGGGTTCCAAGTTATTCGGGAATTAGAAAAGTTTTTTAAACCGAAATTGGAAGAAAACGTGATTTTCTACCGAATAAGTAAAAGAACGGATATTTTTATGCATGTTTTCCATGAATTTCTAGGGGTCATCGAAAATCAATGAGAAAAATGCATACTACATGAGTAGTCACCTTTTACAGAGTATAGTTTATATGTGCAGCCGGAAAGAAGCTCTTTCGAAAGACGGCATCCTGAGGTAACTAAACTATTATAGAATTATGTTGCATGATGATTACTTTTACAACCCTTCTTAGTTAATCTTCTCGAAACGAAAACGAATTTCGGAATTTCGGCTTTCATTTTATAAGTTAGCCCACTTACTGTACTTATTTCCTTGTTATGATAGTGGGCGCTCACCGATCAGGTTACGGAACATGCTCGTTCCGTTGTGCCTTGGGGCTCATACTAGAACCCTCGCAGGCAGTCGCACAGCGACTAGTAGTAGATATAGATGAGTTGGTACCGACAACCGACAGGACAACGGGCCCGTGGCTCAATGGTAGAGCGTCAAACTCCGTGACCAAAGATCCCGGGTTCGAATCTCAAGTGAGCAACACTTGGGGTTGGGTATGACTGGCTGATGACGGCTAGTAAGCCAGAAATGGCCATTCCGGTCTCCCTTGTCTTTGTCGGTACCAACTCATTTATTTCCTTGTCCTAACCTTAACTTTAATTCCCCTAGAATTTAATTGAAAACCACTTTTATGACAGGGTCTTACTATTTCAGCGTCATACTCGTAATGTATTCCAGTCCAGGCGCTCCAAGCTCTCATTGACCTCCATATGTATAAGCAGACCGGACAAGCGGAAGTTGCCTAAATTCCAAACATCTTTTCGAAGACAAATGCACGCCAAAAAAAACTAAAAAAAAACATTAAGCGTATGCTTTTCGTGCGATTGCAGTTAGAGCGTGGCGATAAGAAGACTGCCAGATTCCAGGCCGAATTTGTCCGAAGAATGACTACTGGTTGCTTTACAGAGTTAGCCGAAATGTTTGCGCGACAGAACAGTTTTGGATGGGTTGCGTTTTCCTGTCGAAATGAGTGGTCTGAAACGTAAGGCAGTCGTTGGTAACCTTAAAGAGGAGAGTGCGAAAAAGGCGGCGACGTTTGGCTCTACAGCCCCACTTGATTTTTACCATATGGATAGCTTACTAAAGCAATACTAGCTAACAAACCTACCTTAACCACTCGCTGGATTAGGAAGGGAAAGTGAGCGCAAGCAGAGCTCGAAGCACGCGCAGGGAAGCGAGTGAAGGTGGCGTGTGCATACCTCCCCCGACACAGCCACTCGTTGGATTAAGAGGATAAGGAGGGCGCAATCACATCTGGAAGGCCACGAAGGGGATCGTGTGGTAATTTGCAGTGCATGACCACTTTAGCGGGGCCGACGGAGTTCCACACCGTCCAAACAATTCGATTAGCAAATCTACTTGACCACTCGTTGGATTAAGGTAATAAACATAAACAGGGCTTGAAGCACGCTCAGGAAAGCGCATTTGAACTGATACCCAAAGTAACCTAAGCTGGCATATACGCACTCTTACCTCCGTGGCATACTCACTCGCTGGATTAAAATGGTAAGGACGGCGCAAATACGTGATATTTGCAAAATCAGCTTACCTACATCTACTGAAATTTTTAGAAAGCTTGCCATATGAAGTCACTCAGGTAGGGCTGCATGACCAGACCTTGCCGAAAACTCCATAATATGGATGGAGAAGAAAAATGGTCACTTAAGAGCCCAAGGAGAAGGATCATTTAATCAGTACTCGTTTAATCATTTAATCAAACATGAATGGTGTGCTCGTCACGGGAATGTTAGGCCTAGGGTTTAGGGCAGGTTTGAGGTTATGATTCGGGCTAGCGTTAAGAATGGTGTTAGCGCTAGGGTTCGAACAGGGGAATAAGTATCTGCCTGGGATTTATCGCAAGACAGGTCATCTGCGCAACTTTGACTGGGCGCGCGTCTCTCCGCAAGCGTGATGTGGGCGCGAATTGTCAGCTGTCATGTGAGAACTAGTTTATCGACTGATTCTGGAGTTTGTCTGCCCACGTGATCGCCCGTGCCCGAGGCCGGATCTGCAGATGTTCCATCCGCTCGAAGGTCGTGGTCCCATGATTCGCAAGCGAGACATGCGTACCAGAGGCGGAAGGTTTTTACGCGCCTGAAGCATTTTCAAACACTCCCTCTGAAAACTCCCCATCAGATCAGCATCTTAAATGAGTGTCCAGTAATTATACCTCAAGTGTAAGGTTTAAAGGCATAGTCTACGATGAAGATTTCATAACTGCACCGGAAATGAGCTCAGTAGGGGTTGCTCGCCGCAATGCAAATGGTTA